CCCCAAAACCCCAAAACCCCAAAACCCCTTCATCTAGCAAATTTATTGGACAATCTCAGAATAAAATTAATAGATTTTTAGTAAAAATGTCTACTGCTCCAGACAAGGAAGTTCCGGCGGGGTTTAAGATCTTAAACGAAGGTCAAGCATGGATTTTGTATCATCAAAAAGATAGCAAACGTCAGAAAACTACTGAGCTAGAGGAAGAGAAGGTGCCTCAAGAAGAGGAGAAGAAAGCTCCTAAGAAACTTCAAAAGATGAATCGCACAGAGAAGAATGAGACCAGAGACACAGTGTTTTATAACCCTGTTCAAGAGTTTAACAGAGATTTATCCATTCTGTGCATCACAGAGTACGGATCTCAGCTCCAGCAGGTAAACCAACCCTAGCTAACATTTAGAGGAGAGAAAAAAAGGATTGATGGAAAGGAATCAAAGTTTTAGAAGCTTTAGCAGCAACAGGTCTCAGATCTTGAAGATACATGAAAGAAATTGGAGTGGATATTCAGAAAATCCTCTCAAACGATTGGGATCCTGAAGCAGCAGAGCTAATCAAGAAAAATTTTGCATATAATGATATTCCTGAGGAGAAAACAGAGGTGACAGCAATGGATGGAATTGATTTAATGTACGAAAGGAGAAAACTCAAGGATTTGTATGATGTTATTGATCTTGACCCATATGGAACAGCCTCTCCTTTCTTAGACTCAACAATCCAGGCTATTGAGAACGGAGGGCTTCTATGAGTAACGTTCACAGACACTGCTGTACTTTGCACTTCAAAACCTCATGTCTGATACTATAAATATGATTCTGTTGCTACACATAAGAAAAATTGCCATGAATACGCTTTGAGAATGGTGCTTCATACGATTGCTTCCATAGCAAATAGATATCAAAAACAAATCTTTCCACTGCTTTCTCTCACAGCAGATTTTTATATTCGTCTGTTCGTCAGAATAGGGAGCGAAGAAAAATCAGTTCTACACTGCCACGATAGCATAATAAACACTTCATACGTATTCCAATGCAACGGATGCCAGAACTATTATCTTCATAATGTAGGAAGAAGCAGCTCCAAGCATGATAAGAAGGAGAAAAATTTAACCAAAGAAGAGCAATCCAAGAGGGATCACAATCACAATACCAAATACTCTCTGAACCCAGTGTCTATTCCTACTAAATGAGAAGTATGAGATTCCTCAATGGTCATTGGAGGCCCAATATGGACAGGAGAGATCCATGACAATGGTTTCATCAATTCTCTCCTTGAAAGAACAGAGGATTGGAAACACCTTGGAACTTACAAGAGAATCAAAAAGACTCTTGAAGCTATCCAGAAGGAAATGAGTATTGGAAATTATCCTCTTAGCATGGACTACGATAGACTTAACTCAGAGATTAGGGCTTCATCTATTCCTAAAAAGGCGATCTATTCTGCTTTTAGAAGCTTGGGATATGAACTTGTTCAAACATACTATAAGCCAAACTTATTTAAAACCAATGCTCCACACAAAGTGATCTACGATATATTCAAAGCCTGGAAAATGAAATGAATAGAGGGAACAGAAAAAGATATTACTGATAAATGATCAGACATTGCCAAGTCTATTCTCAACAAACCTATTGAAGTAGAACCAGACTTTGAATTCAAATCAAAAGAAATTGAAGCTGATCTTAAAAAGAACAAAGTAAAGTACTCCCATAATCCTCCTGGATGGGGTCCAGGAACCAGAGCCACTAACAATGCTCAAAATCCTAAAGTGAAGAAGGCTGATAAGAAAGCCCAAGAAAAAGTAGAAGAAGAAAATGAAAAAATGAGTGATTAAACAATGTAGCGTTTCAATTATTTCCACATTTTCGGGGTTTTGGGGTTTTGGGGTTTTGGGGTTTTGGGGTTTTGGGG